CGCAGCAGCTGCTGCTCCGCTCCTCCCCGCTGGGGGCCCGGGCGCTCGGTGAGAGCTAGGAGGCCGCGCCGTGCTCGCGCCTGTCCAGCAGGGGGAGGAGGCAGAGGCATCTGAGTGACAGCTACCGGGAGAGGGGGAATGTGCTCTACGCCGGGCAAGGATAAGCAGCTACGCTCCGAGCGGGTCTGTCACCCCTTCCCTTCCACACGGTAAGGCCTCGCCGACTGCCCGCCCAGACAGTAAGCCTTGTCCTCTGGGGAATGCTTATAAGGCATTCTCCTTGTGGTGGAGATGGATTGTACTATGCATGTTTCCTTGGGGCGTTTATGTAACACTTTGCAATGGAAATATTTTTTCAGGCCAGTAACTACATGAGTAAAATCGAACCAAAAAGAAAAATATTCCAGGCTTCCAGTCTATATTCTTTCTATTTTGATCTCTTTTGAGCTCATTTACACCAGTGTAAATCAGTAGAGTTACTGCAGATTTACATTTGTACAGTTGGCCCTTAACACCCCACTCTGCAAATGGAGTTGTGAGCAGGAGAACACAGAGCCTCAGCCATGGAAAACACAGGAATCTAGCTTGGTCCTCAGGGCAGGAACTGAAGCACCAAGCGCACTTTGGGCACTATACTAAAATAGGATTATAATACAAAATACATAGCCTCCTTATTGTCAGACCCTTAATAACCAAAGTTATAAAACAAAACATAAATATATGACTAATAATGTTTTTTAAAAAGTTATGCCAAGAGTAAAAGGCAATCCCTGCCCTAAAGGTTTTATAATCTAAACCCTGACTTTACAAACATGCACTTGCTCAACTCTGCTAATGTGAGCAGACACATGGGACTATTCACACTAGTAAAGCTAAATACACAAAGAAGTGCCTGCAGATCCAGGTCTAATATAATTGCACATTACAAAAATGAAATCTTTTAAAAATCTCATTGTAGTAAGATGAGGGCCTGAAACATAAGCCCATGTATCACAAGCCTCAAGCCTAGACAGCAATGGTCAAGACTTCACTACAATAAAACAAAGTTAAGCTGTGAGCAAGATGCAGGCACTGCTTACAGAAACTGGCAAGAACGGGCTGATATTACAGAAATACTCATACCTAAGAGCTATTAGGCAGAGGCAGTAAGCACATTCCAGCGAGGTCATAACAGAACACCTTGTTAAGAAACTTCTTGATACCATACACACATCCCACAAAAAACATACATACCAACCCAGGTTCAGGACTGGGTCTGAGTTGATAGCATGATGGACAGTACTGGAAACCCCTACCTAACAGAAGGTGGCAACTTGGTATGTCAGGAGTGATGTTTGTAACTTGTTTGTACCTGTGCATAAAAGTGCCTCCCAAAGGGTACTCATTGACTGACCATGGGGGTGTTGCTAAAATCCAAAGCATTTATTTGGGTGTTAGTCCATTGTCATGGCTTACATATGTATAGCAGCACAGCGGTGAGTCTGTCGCTGACAACTATTATTGTATCTCGCCTGGCAATAAACCTAGTCAGGTGCTTTGGATCCTTATCTGATTTGTGGTTTCTGGGAACTCTCTTGGAGTCTGTCATGTAGACTAATTGAACATAGTTAATGCGTTAGACAGGAGAGCACATGCGTGCACACAGCTGAAAATATATCATCAACAGAGAAGAGGACCTGTCAGGAACCCATTGGGAAGATCCCAACTGATTGACAATACTCACTATCATTAAATTTCACCATTCTCAGTTCCAATTTATCAAATAGCCTGAAGGTCTTTCTTTAAAACAACATAGCATTATCCATAATTTGTAGTCGCTATGGCAAGTATCTATAATCTCACCAGTGTGTGACATCATCCAGAATATATCTTCACTTCCTTCTTTTAGTTGTCATTTGTCTTCTTACTTGCTTTCTTTAGGATTTAAAGTAGTGTTTCTCATCCAGAGGTAGGCATAACCCTGTGGATATGCAGACATCATCCAGGGATACATCAATTCATCTAGATATTTGCAATAGGCTATAATGAAAACTCTAGCAAAGTCAATACAAAAACAGACAATGACTTGTTTATAGGGCTGTGCATACTATATACCGAACGGTAAATTCAAATGTTTATTTATTGTACTGATTGATTTATTTTATAATATACAATAAAAATAAGAAAGTGAGGTATTTTTCAGTAATAGTGTGCTGCCGCACTTGTTTTTTTGTCACATTTTGCAAGCAAGTAGTTTTTAAGTGAGGTAAAACTTGGCATATGCAAGAGAAATCAGACTTCTGGAATGGGTATGTAGTCTGGAAAGTCTGATTTAAAGCACTTTCCTTTTCTCTGAGGTCTTTACCCTTTCTTGCATTTTTCTTGCATGCTGAGACAAGATATTCGCATGACCTTTTCATAAACAAATCAGAGAAATGCAATCCATCTTGCAGTAGCATTTAGATGTATAACTGGTTGGAATCCCACTCTGTGGCTATGTCTAGACTGCAAGCCTCTTTTGAAAGAGGCTTTTTCAAAAGACTCTTTCAAAAAACCCTCTTTTGAAAAAAAAGCCTCTAGACTGCAACCAGTACTTTCGAAAAAGCAAGTCGCTTTTTCAAAAGACAGCACCCAGGTAGTCTGGATACTCTCTTTTGGAAAAGCACAGTTTGCATTACATAGCACCTTTTTTCAAAAGAGCACTTTTGAAAAAAGGTGTTCTTCCTCGTAAAACAAGGTTTTCTGTGGTCGAAAAAACTGCTGCGTTCTTTCGATTTACTTTCGAAAGAACACGGCAGCAGTGTAGATGCAGGGGAAGTTTTTTCGAAAAAAGGCTACTTTTTTAAAAAAAAACCTGTAGTCTAAGCAGCACACCCTCAGAGAGTAGTTGTCAGTGGTTTACAGTCAAGCTTGAAGGGCATATCAGGTGAGACCCCAGAAGCATTGGTTCAGGGTCTGGTTCTTTTCAATAGCTTCGTCAATGATTTAGATGATGACCATCAGCAAATTTACTCCACCTGAAAAGTCTTTCCCCAAGACCTCTCTGAGCTGCCAGTCTTTTACAAGGACCTCCTCAGGATCTGAAAGCTGATTTAAGCAACTAAGTCCATAGCAGTCAGAACCCCTTAAAATACAAACCCCATTTCTGTGTCTTGATGGTGGATTCCTGCTTGGATTTGCAGATGTTACCACCATACTCTGAATTCTCCAGGAGCACGATTAGAGGAAGTGGGTGGATACCAAGCAAGGTGCTAAGCCAGAGCATGGTGTTGTCCGCCATACGCATTCCTTGTTATGAGCTCCAGGAGGTAAGGCAGCCTTATCTCCTGCTTCTGTCGCTTTTTTCAAGTTGATCCTGCAAGGAGAGTGCTCCTGGCCCAACTCTCATCCCCACCAACCAGAATTCAGCATATGGCTCCTGCCCTGCGAGCCTCCTAGTTGACTGTAACATGCCACCTAAGCCAGCTATACAATATCCAGCCTGTCTGCCTCTGAACCACACCCAGAAAACATTGGTATGTGCTTGTGCGTCTTACCATCAACTTCCTTGACCTTATGGCCCATCCTGACACCAAGTGGCAGGATCTATTGCCACCTAAGGAGGTAATAGATGACTGATAGGTCAGTCTGTACTCCATTCGGTATCCACACTTGGTAAAGATATTAGTTGGCGACTCCTGCATGGCGCCATCATCTTTGGCATGTGCCTCAAACAGTTCACAAATTCCCTTGACACCTATTCCTTTTGTGGCACAAAGGCTTTAGCACAAACATTGCAGTACTTCTTCATTAGCCAAGATCTGTCATGCCAAAAGGAAGAAGGTGGATGGGGGATTGCTCTATGGCTTTGGGGCCTGTTTCCAATCCTCTAGGCAGATTTCCTCTGAGCATTGTCCAGACTCTGTAAATGCCTCTGAGAAATGATGAACAATATCAGGGATTCTCTGCTTGGGGTCCCTCTCTAGATCCCTGATTCTTTAGCTTTGGCCTTACTACTGCTTCTGTTCTTCCTTGTTGTCTCAGAAAACATTTGTGGTCTGGCCTTAGTGATTCTTCCCCCTCAATTAATTGAAGGAGCAGGCCTTCAGTTATGGGAAGGCCTAGACTTATCTGTCCCAGTAGTACAAATACTACCAGCCTCTAGTTCATCTCTCCCCAGCTCTTTGCCCATTTCCCTCCCCACCTTCCTCCCAACTGGTCCAGGCTGCTTCCTCATCTAGAGGGGCTGAGCCAGCAGGTGAGGCAACTGAGGACAAAAGAGAGAGACTCCTGGCTCTCAATTTTAGTGTGTGGATCCTGACTGAACCTAATCCAATCTACAGCAGTCCAGATTGCAATGTGCAGGAAAAGTCCAGTTGACCTTGAAGAGGGATAATACAGTGCATGTTGACTCTTCAGAGGAATTTAACTGCCAAGACATTTGCCACTGAGCACCTATGAACTGTGATCTTTCAAGTGCTTATAATGGGGCTAAATTTGGACAGATTTCAAGGAATGGCAAAAGACATGTCTTTGGTGCAACCACCACCGCCCTGCCAAATATTAAGTTCCTGCTCCACAGCTCAAAGGCCCCCAGCATGTTTTTAATATGGGCAAAATATCAATCACCCTTTTCCTCAGCCTTGTGTTGTGAAAAAGATGAAATGTTGTGTCTGAATTATCCTCCCAAACCTCCAAATTTCAGCTTATGGCAGGGGTAAAAGTGGGCATAAAGCATTCTGGCCAAGACAGTTACACTTTTGCAAAGTTATGATGAGCAGCCAAAACCAGGTTCTGAGGAAGGGAAGAGTCAGAGTCAGAGGCCTTGCCCAAAGCCCGCGCTAGCAGCCCCCTCCACGTGTATTTGCCTAGAAAGACAAAGGCCAAGCACACTAGCATACAAAGCCTGCGATTCCCTTCCCGGGGAGCCGCGCTGACCTGCTGGCCAGGCCGCATTGTCCCTCTACTCCCGCGCCGCGCGCTAATTACACCGGGCCAATCACTCGCCGCG